CAGTCCCTGCCCAGCCTATATCGGTGCTTGGCATTGCCCCGACCCAGATGAAAAACCGTGCGCTTGGTCTTGTTAAACTTCCTGACTGTTCTGTGCTCCTCTCACCCTGTTGTTCTCCTCCCAGGGCCCACCGCGCTGCTCCTCCCTGCAGGCGCCCATCATGCTGCTCTCTGGGCACGAGGGTGAGGTGTACTGCTGCAAGTTCCACCCCAACGGCAACACCCTGGCCTCGGCCGGCTTCGACAGGCTCATCCGTGAGTACCAGGCGCTCCCATGAGGGCCGACACCGCGTGGGACTGGGGCTCGTGCAGTTTCAGGCCATTGCGCTGCCATAAGGCTTCGTCTCAGCTCTCAGCTTACTGAGTCCTGAGCGTGAAGTGCTTCATCAGGAGGGGAGCAAGATACTTTTCCCAGCTCCTCTGGTCCTTCTGGTCCTCAGGTGGGGCTGGTGATAGGCCTTGCTGGTTCCAGCCCGGTGTTCCCAGGTCCCTCACGCGGGGTATTGTTGGTCTTTGACTGCAGCAGTCTGCAGAAATGCTTTGGGTTGCTGAGGTGAAGATGATTATCAAATAAATAAATTCAACTTGATCTAAAACCCTGAATCAACTCAAAACAGCTGTCTTGTCTTTCCGGGGCTCACACGATGCTTCGTCATGGCTACATGTGACCCGAGATTGGAGATTATAGTGGTGACAGCACATAGTTCGTTCTCCTGAGTTCCCGGAGAACCACAGCACAGAGGTGTTTCTGTGCATCCTGTACTTACTCCCTGTTCCTTTTCCCCCAGTGCTGTGGAACGTTTACGGGGACTGTGATAACTACGCCACCCTGAAGGGACACAGCGGGGCGGTGATGGAGCTGCACTACAACACGGATGGCAGGTAAGTGACAGCTTTCGGCCTTAGGCTCTGCTCTTTCTTGAAGGAAGGTGCTTTCAGCTTGACAGAGTCCCCTGGAGCACCTTGTTGCCACTGCTCAGTCCTCATACGACAAATGCTTGTGGTGTGGCTTTCCCAGATAAGAGGAGGTGCTTGCTTGCAACTGAAAAAAAGAAAAAAGAATCTGGAGTGACCTGTGACCCACCAATGTCTTTGATTTCTATCTTGAGGAACAGAGGAATGTTAATGTCGGTCATTTGGAAGACACTGGGGGGGGCAAAGAAAGCAAGATATTTGCTAATTTAAAAGGCTGTAGCTTGCCGACCTGAGTTCATCCTAAATAGCGTTTGAGGAGGTGGAAAACCAATGTAGAAATGGGGGTTAATGGTGCTGTCTACAGTGTAGTTGCCCCTCTGTCAGTCAGCCTCCTCTGAAATGCAACCTTTGTCTTGCCCTGTGGGGGAGATTCTGCTCCATGGTATATTCCCACTGAATATTTCTGTCTTTGATCGCAGAATTTGAGAGTAAAAAGGTGGTAGTGGGGGGGAAGTGTTGCCAAAATTGGGAACCTCACAGCGTTTCTTCTTGACAGCATGCTCTTCTCGGCATCCACGGACAAAACCGTGGCCGTGTGGGATAGTGAGACTGGAGAGAGAGTGAAGAGGCTGAAGGGCCATACCTCGTTTGTGAACTCCTGTTACCCAGCAAGGCGAGGACCCCAGCTCGTCTGCACAGGCAGTGACGACGGGACAGTGAAGGTCAGTGTGTTGTGCAAGGACATAGCCTGGAATGAGAGTAAGACAGAAGTTTTGAGAGAATTTTTGGAGTCTTCCCATTCAAGTGGGCTAAATTCAGCCTTTCGTTACTCTTACAATTTCACTATCCAGTAACTGATTTCAGAAATCGAGAGGTGACGTCCCTGCCCATGACAGGGAGGTTGGACTAGATGATCTCTAAGGTCCCTTCCAGCCTAAGCCATTCTATGATTCTATGAAAAAAATGAAATAAAATTTGACTGGTCCTTTTTTTCTGTGATTCTCTGAGGGAGAGATGAAGATTCATTGGCTCTGTTGGACTTTCTCCACTGAACTGCTTTAACAATGCAAGCCATTACTGAAATCTCCTGTACTTCCACCACACCACTCTTACTATGTCTTTTATAGAGATATCCTGAGGTCTAAAAGAGGGGATTTCAGGAGAGTGTTCTGAGTCGAGTATCTCTGCGACTCCCTGTAATTTTCTCATGAAATATCTCTGTGTGACTCTTAAAACTGCCGCATCTTTCCAGCTGTGGGACATCCGGAAGAAAGCTGCCGTCCAGACCTTTCAGAACACGTACCAGGTCTTGGCTGTAACTTTCAACGACACCAGTGATCAGATCATCTCCGGAGGCATCGACAACGACATCAAGGTAGGAGGACGCTGACGTCCTCGGGTGCCTTCCCATCCGCGCACACCTTCTCCATCCCGCCGCATCTTGTGTTCATCACGGACAAATGTGGGAGCCTGGTGATTAATTTTACAGTCCCAAGAACCTGCTGTGTCCGACCTCGCTGTTGATACAGGGCCAGTAAGCTCTGAGGGAGCTGCTCCGGGGCTCTTTGCCCCGTGACCGC